ATAACAACACGTAACAATGTCAATTAACAACAAACAATACATACCACTTAATAAAAACCCTAAAAAACCAACAATTCCTCACAATCCAACGAAAAAAAACAATAATATTAATCCATTTACATAAATTTTTACAATTATTTTTTCAAAATATCATTAATTTTCTCACTCTCCACATATATTTACTAAAATTTTCCAAAATATTCACATTTTCCGGAAAAATTCACTCAAAAAACAATAAATTTCCGAAATAAAATGTAATAAAATCCGTTTCACTGCGCTTTCTTATACCAGAATCGCGCCCTGAAATCATCACTACCCGTCACAAACGCGGGCATTGTGGGCGAATGACAGAATGTCCGTGTGGGCGCCGTGTGTCCTGAATTACAGTAATAAATATCAATTACAAATAATAATAATTATAATAATATAAATAATAAAAATAATAAATAATAATAAAAATAATAAATATTTCATTTACCTAATGCCAGCAGCCGTTTCCTATCCGCGTTTCTGGCGTCCCATGAACACAAACTTCCGGATTTCTCGTCCGGATACAACACTAAAAATAACAATAATAATAAATAATAATAAATAAATAAAATATAATAATAATAATAACAATAATAATAAATAACAAAATACCCCACCATAGTCCTCATTATGATTGAACAGCGCCCTAATCGGGTGCTCNTCCGCGTTTCTGGCGTCCCATGAACACAAACTTCCGGATTTCTCGTCCGGATACAACACTAAAAATAACAATAACAATAAATAATAATAATAAATAAAATATAATAATAATAACAATAATAATAAATAACAAAATACCCCACCATAGTCCTCATTATGATTGAACAGCGCCCTAATCGGGTGCTCTTGCGCCCCAGTCGCGCCCGCGCCCGTATACGCTATAAGACAGCGATTCGTCGACAGCTCCCATAGTTTCACAACACTGTCCAGTCCCGACGTTAGAATATACTGCAATTACCGTAATATATAAATATATAATAATAATAATAATAACAATAACAACAATAACAAACAATAATAAAAATAAAACACCCCGCACCTTCCCATTCCTCGTAAATGCCGTACTCGATATCTGCGCCCCATCATGAGCCCTCTGAAACGTCTCAACGCATCGGTTCGATATGCCATCCCACACCTTCACATCGCCATCCTTCGATCCCGTTACATACAATCGAGCGTTCTCCGAGTAATTAACCTTAATTATTCATTATATTTAATAATTATAATAAAAAGAATAATAATAAAAATAATAATAAAAACCCACATCCATAATGCCGTCAGTATGCTGGTCAGTGGGCACGGCACACACATAACACTGCTGCGTCTCGATATTATACAGTCTCAACGTAGAGTGATTCGTCGCCACCAAAAGATACTCGCCACCCGGGTGGAACGAGATCGCTCTTATGGCCTCAACCTCCTTAAATATTATTTATTATTATTAAT